CTCAAATTCTCAAAAACAGTAACAAGGCTCAAAGATCATTCTGTTGCGTAACATGGAGAGTACCAATTTCTGACAGCAAAGCCGTTCACGATTGTTTTTCAATGCTACAGTCGGTTGCAATCAAGGAAAATTCATTCCTAAGACGGCTGCCTAAAAAACTAGAGTGGGAATAATATTTTTGAGGGAATAATATTAGGTATGTTAATCAGATGATGATGAGTGGTGAGGAGGACAACGAAGGGCTGGTAGTGTGAAAAGAAGGATTTGTTGAAACGATTTTTTAGAGGTGAAGAATTAGTGACGATGCTCTCGCAGAACATCGTTGAGAACAACGTCGAGTCGCTACTTGGGCCAGGTTTTCACCCTCAACTACCCAGTCAACCGTTGCAACAGATTGACCTATCGTTCATCGACGGTGCATCGAATCCGTTCCACTTTACTAGCAATGATACGGACGAGTGAATGAATAAATGAATATATCATATGCCTGATGAACTCATATCAGAACATACCTATGCTCATCACTATAAATAAATTCTACAACGCCTCTTGGAACGTGTCAACGATGTTTGCTGGATGTTTGTTGCAGATCAGCACGTATTGAGCTCTGATTGCCGATATCATGCTGTTGTGGATGACAGGAGAAGGCTGAAACGGTTATGCTTCGGGTTTATTCTCTGTATATTTTATGCACATCGTTCATTTTTGTACGAATTCATTCTGTCGCATAATAGCGGATTTTGGTCGATGGTTTATTGAATGTTGGTTATGTATTCACTGTTGTTCTTATGCTGAATTTCCATGATTGATGACAGATATTCGCAACGATTTGCTCTATCGATTTGTGTGTTCGCTATTTTTATGATGCTCATCACCAAAGCTTATTTTTCTGTATTATTTCTGTTCAATGTTTAGTTCTATTCATCTGGTTTTATTGATCCTTATAGTTTTCCTGTTTTGTTCAGTGATTCTTTCATTTTTCCGGATCACTCTTTGTTTAATCCTTTGTATATTTGTTTATTTATTCCGTTATTCGTCGTTTATTTGTTCATTTTTGTTTTTGTTTGTTCGCATTCAACGAATATTTTTCTCGTTAATTCTTTTATCGACCAACTTGCTCTAGTCGATGTGCTGTCAGCACTGCGCTATGCTTTGAGAACATTTTGGTTTGTGTACATTCGACTGATGCCTTTTTAGTTTTAGATGTTAGCTAAACCACCGACTTTGTAGTACAATGATTCAGTTTGTTGATGAATCACTCTGCATTGTTGACAGATTGATGAGAGATTCTTTCTTGATTACCAGAAAACTGAAAAGGTTTCGCTTAATCCACTTAATCTGTTCATTTCTAGTGTTACATTATTGCTGCTTTCAAGTTTCTTTGTGATGCTTGCTTTGAGGTAGTTTAGCAGTTATTTGATTGATTTTCCTCTTATTATACTTACCATCGACCTATCTGAAGCGGAGTCGAATAAATTCGACTGCGAAATTGCGTCGAAATTTTTCTTTGTTCTATTCTGTAATATATTTCCAATGTTTGTTTCTTTTTTCTTTTATGAATGGTTTCATTTTTTTTCGGTTGATTTTATGATCTCATTCGTGTCAGTTGGCTCATCCATCCGCTTTCATAATTAAACATGAACTGTTATCTTTTCCGATAAACTTGTAACTAAGTCTCATTCAGTTGCAATCGACTCATAGCGTTCGTAGTCTGAATCTAAACACACAGTATGTGCAAATTTTGGTCAGACTTAACTGAGTTATACAAAAAAATAATATCATAGCTGTTTAATCATGAATCCGCATGTTTTTAATGATTGAAAATAGTTGCTGAAGTCTGAATTTCTTTCCAGCAATTATATCTGGAAAATCTGCGGACAATCTATTCGAACATATACTCTATCACCTAGATGAACTTTCGCGACCACAGCTACACCCATCTCTGATATATTCTAACTTAGGCCAACTGTAAAATCCCCGTTTCTATCATCTCCTTGCGATTTTCGAATATTTTTTCAGAAGTAATTTATCTCAGCTCAACTCACTGTCAGCTACTATAATATTTTATCGTTTGTTTAAGCGTGAATCAGAGCATTGTTTTCCTCCGAACGAATTGGAATCTTTGATAAAGAAACACTTTGAAAACCAAACGCTCCTTCGATTAGATCTGTTTTTCTTACTGTGCAT